GCATCACTCATCACCTCCCCAACCCCAGTAAGACTCCCTTACAGCGCAGCCTCTCAGTCCTAGCACCGGCTCAAACAGACGTGGGGACAAACAGTGCAAAAAGCAAAAGATGAACAACAGAGTAATTTTTGACACACACAATACGAAAATAAAAATAAAGTGTACCCCATCCCACCCCTTTAACCTAAACTTCATGTACCTATATCATTGTGAAGGAACCAAAAAAAAAAAAAAAAAAAGCTTTCAAGTTCAGTATCACAAGCCAACTGTGACCAGCCCTGGGCAGCACTGGGAGCTGGGTGGGCTTGGCTCCAGGGGACTCTACCCCAGCCCCCACCATAATTCTTCCTGTTTCCTCACTTCCCCTTTAGTTTTTGAGCCATAGAAAGAGGTCCCTTCCTTCCGACACAACCAAAGAGGAAAGTGCCCATCCCTATCCCTGAACTCAGGGGGAGGGGGCGGACTTGGAAACAGAGGCAGAAGCAAAGCTGCTTGGCTTACAGTACCGTTAGGAAATGGCCCCAGGAGCCAGGGTTTCCTTCTGAGACTCTGAGTCACTGAGGGGATGGCTGAGGTGAGGAGGCGGGGACCCCACCCTCAGAGAGACCCAAGCAAACTAATGAGCAAGGCAAAGTGGAGGCAGTGAGTCCACCTTCCTCACCCTGTCCACTCTGCTGGCAGTGGCCTACAGCTTTGGGGAGCTGTGATGGAACAGGAATCGAAGCCACTGTCAGAAGCCCAATTAATAGGACGTCCACTGCCCCAGGCAGGTGGTCCCCAGGATCCAGGCCACAGCACGTCATCCTTTAACGCAGGGAGCTGTGTGAAGCACTCCAGGAGTGTTCCTCTGGTTACAGTTTCACGCTGCAGCCGTCCAGCTGCCTGACTCAATACCTGAATACTGAGGCCCAAAGTCACAGCCAAAATAAAGGAGAACAACTCAAAAGGACTAAATAATGACCTGGAGGAACTCATTAAGAACCGAAACCCAGGACATGAGCCTAAGAGCTATTTACTTTGTCACATAATGAGCAGTTCAAATATATGGAGTTCTTGGAAAACATATTTAAAAAGACAAAACTCAAAATCAAACACATTTCAAAAAGATGGGCCTGGCCTGAGACTCTGGGCTGCTCTGGCCCAAGCATAAGCTAATCCTTCCATCCATATAATTCCTTGTAGCTCAGTGGGGTCCTCCCTCATTGCTACCCTACTTGGGAAAAGGATGGCGGGGACCAGAAAGGAAGGGAACAAGGAAGCTTCATTTCCTGCAGAGATGTTCTCAGGGAATTCAAGACAGACACCGAGATGCTAAGGGTGGCTTCAGAGCTGCCAGAACTACGGCTGACTGGCAATCTTTCAGCCCTGTCACCCCAAGAACATGGCTGTGCCCTGGACAGGTAAATGAGAGGACCAGGGGGCACACCATTAAGGTCAGGGAGAGGCATCACTGGGCCAGATACAGACAGTCAGTCTAGCTCCTGGGGGCAGCTCTCTGCATAAACCAAAACCGGTTGGCTGTGATGCAGAGGGGCATGGGAATAAATGAACGTTAGATACTAGGTACTCTCAACAGTGGTCAGTCACTTAGTAGGGCTCAAGTCTCTGAGGTTGCTCTTAAGTTATGCTAACATAAGCCTTTTCTAATCCAAAGACTAGAAGAGACTTTTAAGGTCAAGTGTTCTGTTGCTGCAGGCTGGAAAGCATCCCTGTCCCCTGGCAGCAAGACCCTACGGAGGGGCCAGTAAAAGAACTGCTGGGTCAGGTCCTCCTGGCTGCTGGCTCAGAGATCCAGGGAGGGAGGTACCAGTAAGGTGAGGTGGTGGAGGGTAAGACATTCAAGCAGAGGGAACCCCAAATCCCCGAGTCTCCTTCCCTTCTTGGCAATAACTTAGCAGGATGGTTGAGTGAGAAAAGAGATTTCAACTGAGCCAGATTAAGACAAAAAGAAAAAAGAAGAGAGAGAGAGAGGAAATCAAGTCCCCAACAGGCACCGAAATCAAAATGATCGGTTGCGGTAAGAAGTCAGAGGCAACTTGAGGACCTGACATAAACTAATTGTCTCGGATACCAGACAGTCCTCTCACTAGCACGCGTCAGGGAGACGAGCAACGACAAAGCTCGACACTTAAGGTGGAACCATCGCTGGGTTAAAACCAGAAAGGCTTCCAAGTGAGGAGGCGCCTACTTTTCTTGTTTTTAATCCCCCTTCTGTCTTAAAATTTATCATACAAGTTACACACCTTTACACAAACACACACACACACTCCACTCTCAATCCCAGGACATCTGAAAACTTATCTGGACAAAACTTCAGAACACACCCAACTCCCAGCACTGGTCTTTGCGGGTAAGAAGATGACATTGCCCTGCTGTTAATTTCTAACCTAAAGAAAAGGAACCGTGTCTGCTCTGAGTCCAGAGTCCTTTCCACTGGGTGTACAGACAAGGACCCCTGACCAGGGAGGAGCCGGTCTACCCTACGTACCCTAGAGAGGAAGAGGCAGCAGGAGACTGCTACACAGAGAGCTAAGACCCGAGCAGGTCTGCAACCAGGCGGTGGATGAGGGCCACTCTCTCCTCACTCTGCCTCTTTTCATCTCCTTTAAGTGTGTGTGTGTGTGTGTGTGTGTGTGTGTGTGTTTATGTGTGTGTGTGTATGTCTTTGTCTGTTTTTGTTAATCACTGTGAAAAATACAGAAACCCAAAACGCGTTTGGTTTCTTTCCCACACCCCTCCACCCTGTTCAGGACGGTACTTTGTTCTCACAACCGGCAGAGGCAGAAGAGGGTTGGAATGAAGACTCCGAAGGCCACCAGGATGGGAAACATGAGGCTGCTGTTGTCCGAGGCGTAGGGGTTGGGCGTGCGTGGGCCCGACTGCACCCGGTTCTTGTTGGTCTGTCTTTTGAGATTAGACCCTTCGTCGTACTCCTCCTCCTCCTCCTCCTCCTCTTTCTTCTCCAGTCCTGGATGGGGCTGCAGCTTTGGTACATCTGACGCATGACAGAGGACACTTTTTAAGCCAGAGACCCACAGCACTTACAGGAGACCCTTAAGAGCAGTAAATGAGCCACAATAAAGAGACCCTACAACCTAAGCAGGTCCCACAGGAAGGAGCAGAAACAGCCTCCCACTCAGAGAACGGCAGACTGCTGCAGACACGTGCCTTCTTTAGATTTAATGAAAACATAGCCAAAGCCCTGCACACTGAGAGGCTCACTGTCTCCCCTTCCTGTCCTACTTCAGAGCCCAGAGGGAATCAGATCGCACGAGGACAATGACCCGACACCCAGAACTTAACCTTTTCAAACCCCTTCTCCCCCCTCCCACAATCCCATGTTCCCTTCTGATCACACAGCAACCGAGGAAAAGCTGATCCATAGAGTTCCGGGTTCTCAGCACACACTGTCCCCTCCTGAGGGACTCGGGCTACAAATCAGTTTGGTGGCAAGACATCCTCTGGGATGTCACAACATCAGCGTGTGGGGGGACATCGAGACAACAGGATGAGAGCCTCAGTGTATCCAGGATGAGCTGGGGAAAGGCATGGAGGTGGGATGGGGGAGAAAAGTCACTAAGACATAAATAAGCTTTCTCTGCAAAAATCAGCCTGGGAAAGCTGGCAGCCAGGATCACCTCAACCATGAGAAGGAGAAATCCTCTAAGAACAGATCCCAAGGACAAGGGACAGTAATAAATGAACTTTTGCTCAGTGCAGCCCAGCAACACTGCATCCTCTCGGAGCATACCAAACACGCAAGGACCTTTCCTGTTGCCTTTTCCTCTTTCTGCCCCCAGGACGTAGATGTCAAAGAAACAGTACAAGGATAAGTTTCGGGCAATTCCAAACGACTGCGAAGATCAGGGCACACCAATCGGCACCATTATTAATCCCAACTTACAGTGAGGTTAAAGCATTTGGGCCAAAACCAAACCACCGATTAAAAGGCGACAGCAAGATGGGAACACAGATCTATCTCCAAAGCTAGCACCCCACTACCCTTCAATCCCCAGTCAACTGACTCTGCACTCCCCACAATCTGGCTTTAAGTATTAGGGTTTTCAAAACAGCAGCCAGCTAAATCATCCCCCAGGGGTTTCCTCAATCATGTCCTTCAGCCCACGTCAAAAAAGCAGATCAGAAACACAACTCACCGTCCACGGTCCCGGCCATGATGTAGAGAGCACAGACCTTGGGATTGTCGTAGTACCCCTAGGAGACAGGAACAGCGGTCAGCCCCACGTGGCAGCAAACACCCCACCCCCTGCACCCACACCTTCGAGCTCCTCCCCCGCTGTGAGGGCAGAGCAGCAGCTTCACCTTGACGAACTCGATGTAGAGCTTCCCGGTGAAGGTGGACACCTCCCCCTGGACGCTCAGCTTCCCCTTCCTGATGCTCATCGGGATGATTTCATCATGAGCTGTGCTGTGCCCCACGCGATCAAAGATATCCAAGTCCTTCACCACCACGTGGCCGTTCAGTCGCACATCAAATACCTTCCAAGAGAAGAAAGGGAGACAAGGTCAAAATCACCTACGTCACACTCCTTCAGCAGCTGGACATCATGGCCCTGCCCAGGCTTCAAGTTCAAAAGTAATTTAAGGAATGACAGGGCTGGATCTCTTCCAGGGCGGCTAGAGTCCTTTACCTGAGCCAAATCAAAGCCACTTTTTTTTCACTGTCACGGTCTCATACTGGCCTTAGGGAACAAAGAATACAAACAAAAAGTTCAACATGGATAGAAGGAAATTCACAGGGACAAGAAACCAACAGGGCTGAAAACAAGAACATGCTGACAAGGAGGGAGAGATTATAACCAAGAGAGCCTTAAGAGGATCAGTTAGTTGCCAAGAACGAGGATTCTGGCATTTCCTTCTGTCACCATCCCCAAGGCAAGTGCAGCCTTGTGAGTAAAGGGGCACCGCATCTTAGGGGGCAAAAGGAATCCAGCCTTTCCTCAAAGCTCCTCTGTTCCTCCCTTCTGGGGAAGCTCTCAGTGGAGGGCTATGGAAAAGTGGCAACGTCCGCTGGTTAAGCAGGGGTCCAAACAGGCCTCACCTTCTGCTGGGACTGTGCAAAGTAGACTTCGGCAAATTTCAACACCAGCACATAGTCCCCCTCCTCCTTGATGGGCACTTCGTAGCCAAAGGTCTCCTCGTTGTACCGCTCCGTTTGATACAGGATCTGGTCCTCGGGGTTGGAACGCAGGATTGGCAGTTTCATGCCATAGTCAGAGGCTGGGGACAAAAGACAAAGAGAAACCACATCAGAGGCAAAACACACAAAGAAGAGCAGAGACCCCAGAAACGCCAGAGGCATTTCCAGGGCAAAGCTAATAACCCTCCCCAGTGGAAGGGGCCCCACTGCACCTGGCTCCAAAGAGATCAGACACAAAGGCCAGAATCAGCCAGCCAACACCTAGGAAGAGGAAAATGAAAGAAACCAAACACTAATCACCCCAACAGCTCCTGTAACTCTCATGGTGGAACTTTTTGAAAGCACGTGAAACCGACTTCCCCTAACTACAACCAGAGTGCTGGGAAGGGAGCAAGTCTAACTCATTATGAGAACAAAGCACGGGGCTCCAGCTGCCGGCTCCCCAGTGAGGGAGAGCTGCACAGAAACCTCATAAAACAAGGGGGGCAGCCAGGAGCACTAGATTCAGTTCAAAGAGTGTTTTTTTCCTCATTCAGAAAAGCTCAGTCTAAATGAAAAACAGGATATCTGTTAGGAGAGTCTTTCTTCATTGTCTTTGCTACAAATAAGATACCAGCTTTAGTGGCTTTTTACCACCTTTTTTTCATTCAAAAAGTCCCGAGGCTGGTCAAAAGAAACATGCTCATAAAAAGAAGGATCTGATGCTCTTGAACTTCCTTTGGGTCCAAGCGCCTTACTTCCCACCCTCACAAAACTCAACCTCATCCAAGCTTTGAACATTCCTTGAGTCAAACCAAAAGGAGAAGTTTCCTACTGTGTCCCCAGCCCCTAACACAGTCCCTGACTCAAAAGGAGGCACCTGATGTGATTCGCTGAATGAACATATAGCAACAATGAAAGTGCGTGCAGCACAGTGACGCCTCACCGTCCTCTCCACAGGGCGGGAGCCAGCCTAGTGGGGAAGGGAAATGTGTCCCGGTCCTACTGGCACCTCTGGCTTGAGATGCCCAAGTCCAGAGGGAGCTACTCTACCCCTTTCAGACAGACTAGGAATGAAGCGGGGTAACAGCAAGAAGTTCTTACTTACTCGGGTGGCTATCAGAAGAGCCAAAAACCTCTACTGTGCACAACCTTAGTAGGAGACAGGTCTGCACGTGTTTTTCTTTCCCCCATATAACCAACTAAACCCAGGTCTTTCCTCAAATATAAGATTCCAGACTCCGGCCCCAGAGATGAGTACTCATGCTAGCTACTGCTCCATAAATCTACTTTCCAAACTGCAGACTTGGTAGTGATTCAGTACACGGGCCTCGTCTCTCCTCCACTTTGGAGGAGAAATCTTGGAATTCAGATTTCAAAGCCACCTTCCAATCACACACGGTGACTCTGAAGACATTTGACACCCAGTTTCTTCAAGAGATTTTTGAGAGCTGCCATCTGGGGAGCATTCTCCTCTGGAACTCCCGGGGAGGGGATCTCTCCTCTCCAAAGGAAGGCAAAAGAGTAACTAAAAGACTTAGTGATTAAGGTCAAGCGCTCAGAAAAATAAACAGAACTGTTAACAGTTCCTGTAAGTGAACAGGAGCCACGAGATTAGATGAACACATGAGACAATGAACAGGAAACTCATTGCACTTTTGTCTCCAGACTTTTCTTCTGCCTGTTTCTCCTCAAGATATCAAAGACGGGCAGCTGAGTAGGACTCAAAGGATGTGCTGCCAGCAGGCTTCCCGGGGCTCAGACCACTACACCGGGACACAAACCTAGACAGATTAAAGGACTGCTACCCGCTTTCCAACTGAGTTCCGAGAATCCCCTTCTTCCATGAGGACCGTGATCCTTACAGATCTGGAACGGGAACTAGACTTGCTCTTCAGATACACAGAAAATGTTGTGCATGTGTGGAGAATCTTTTTTGTTCCCCTCGCAGCGTGGAGAAAGTGAGAAACTGATGGTGATGCAATCCACGGCAGCCTCAGACACACAACTAAGAAAACTCATCCCTTTGAGCAAAAAGGACTTAACTTTAGAAGAGCCTCTCAGTGTTTTCCCTTTAGAGCCCAAGTGGCTTTCCCACGAGATGTGCCACGTGCAAAGTGGAATCTGCCCAAGTCCCAGGAGAGACAATAGCAAAAAGGACTTTTTCTTCTGCCCTTAACCTTGATACAGTCACAGCTAACAGATTTCTCTAAGATACAGTGAAGTGTAGACAGTCGGCACATGACTGAAGTTGGCACAACAGAGCTCAGACTGTGGGGGGAGGGAAGAGGCCAAAGGGCTTATGCTACGTCCACTGCTTGTCTTATTCTGAACGATGGAGTCGCCAGGCTACCTGGAAAATCAGCCCAGGTGTGAGAGTGAGCGAGGCCTGGATTTGAATCCTGACCCTGCCACCTCTTATGCAATGCAGAGCAAGCTGTCTTCTCTACATTTTTCTCACCTGTAAAATGGGAATATCACCCACCTAAATGCTCCACCTGTGAACTTCTGCCCCTCGGAGGGCCTGCAAGTGAAGCCTACCCCTGACATGGCAGTTCAGGGAGAGAATTCTATACAAATCTCTTGGCCTTAAGCAAATCAGAGGCAGGACTCTCAGGCTACCTTTCAAGCTCTTATCTCCCCGAGGCCAAACCCTTTCCCAGCCCAAAGGAAAGGGTCTTCCTTAGGCCTCCGGAATTTGTCATCCAACAGACTCAGGCCCCTCACCAGCTTTCCTCCCCTTCAGAGCCCCATTCTGGCCTTTTAATTCCATGTGAAAGGTGATCAAGCAAAGAAAAAGGTAGGGGACACTTTAACCTACTCTGGACAGGAGAATTTTCAGACTCATGTCACTGATTTCTAAAGCAAAACAAGTTTTATGAAGAAGGCAAACAAGGCTCAGGGAGGTAAAGCCAGTTCTTCCAGGTCATACAGAGAACTAGCAGGCACCTTTCCTTTAGGACATCGCCTCCATGCTAAAATCAAGCCAAGTTCTATGCCCTCCGGCCAAATAACCAGGTCTTTCCCTCCTCAAGAGTCAAGAGGAACCCAGAAAGTGCAAGTTTAAAAGAACCTTGAATGTGCAACAGGCCAGAATTCCAAGCCGAGCGCTCCCGAGTCACTCTCTGTAATGGTGCTTCGGTCGGCTTCAGTCTGCCAAAGCACACAAGCAGAAAAGCCTTTCCCAGGCTGTCAGCATCTTCTATGAGCAAGAGTTATCCGCCAGGCAGAAATGAAATTCAATATAAACATTACGAAGTGCCTTTGAAAGCAAAAGCCCCTAGGTGCCTGGGGCCACTCAGCTGCGAGAACGCTGAACTACAAAGACGCTGCAGAGAAACAGCAAGTTCAAAAGCAGGCCAAACTCTTATCTGGATTAACTTGGCAATGACTACCTGAATTCATTCAGCATAAAAATGGACTTTCCTCGTGTGCTGGAAACAATATCGCGGGTATGTGGGAAAAGAAATAAAGGCATACAGCTCCTACTGCAATTAGTGTAAACAGCTGTAGGAGACGGGTCTCCAAACACCCGGCACACACCCTCATCCAGACAGTGCCAGGCAAGGGAAGGCAGCGTGAACAGCTGCACCCCGCTTGTGGCGCCGACTCCTTAGCACAGAAAAGAAACCAGAGAGCTGCCTTCTGAGAGAGGAAGATTAATCCCTCCTCAGCCCCAGAACTAATGCCAGCAAAACGCTCCTCTCGGGAGCCCGCTGAGTGCAGTGTTGGAACTGGCTGGTCCGAGCTTCAACCACCTCCAAGCAGTAAACCACCTCCCTTCCCCAACCATGCATAAATACTGCTACAATGTATACCCAAAGGGACCGCCAGGGCGGAGCAGGGAACCCCCGTTTACAGAGTGCCAGGGTCCCACACGGGACTCCGGCACACGTGAGCTTTGGTCATTTGGTAAGTTGCTAAACTCTTGGGAAGGAACTGCCACCATGAGCCAATAACCTGAGGACAGAGAGCCTGGCTGACTGCTGACCAGGCCAAGAAGGAGAAGAAGAAAACAAAATCAAACCCACCAGCACCAGCAAATTAAAACAGGATTTCTGAATACGGAGAGCAGCTAGGGACTAAACCTGCGTGGTCTTAGCTCCCTCCCCTGCACAATGGACCTCGCAGGAGAATGTAACCTCCGTAAGCCTGGTATCTGTTAAGTGGAAGGAACCATCTGCATTGTCTCACCACAGCTATCTCAAGATGCAAAGTCCACAAACGGTCTCTAATTTCCTCAAGGGCTCCTTCCTCCCCGTCCACACCCCTGAAGAAAGAGGAAGGGTCCAGGATGGAGATAACAGCAATGTTCTCCTGCTATTAAGTCTGGCTTTGGCTGCTGTTCCAGTTGCTAAAGACCAGGGCCCTGACTCAGCTGAACCCAGGCTACTGAGACCTACATGCCAGCACTAAATAAATACCAGCTCTAAACTAAAGACAAACTTGGGGCTTTAGAAAACAGTCCTGTGTCCCAACACCCTCACATGGTTGGAAGCAATAAACTCCCTAATATAACAAACTCCAGAATGCTGCAATTAATTTGGAAGAACTAAGTTAAACCCTTTAGGAAAGGCAAGAGCCAAATCTGGGCATCGTGGAAAAAAAGAGTGAAAGAAGTCTGCTTCCCAGTTTTCTGGAGATGGCGTGTTGCCAATTTGGCAGCCTCTGAACCCAAGA